CCTTAACATCCAGATTACTTACGTAAATAACAAATAACAAAAGTCCCAACAGCGACCCCTGTGGCAACCACTAGTCACAGGTCTCCAGTCCGAGATACAAACTTCAACCATCACCCTCTGCTTCCTACAATCGAGCCAATTTTGAATCCAATTAGCTAGCGCTCCCTGGATCCCATGTGACCTAACCTTCATGACTAGCCTGCCATGCGAGACCTTGTCAAAGGCCTTACTAAAGTCCATATAGACAACATCAACTGCCCTACCTTCATCCATCCTCTTGGTTACCTCTTCGAAAAACTTTCAAAGATTTGTTAGACATGACTTCCTGCATAACATCCTAATCAGACCTTGACTGTTCAAATCTGTTGATCCTGTCCCTCAGTACTCTCTCCAATAACTTGCCTACTGCTGATGTAGTGGAAATGTTGGAGAAAGCACTAAACAGAAAATAAGAGATGTAAGCAATAATGGTTTAGGTAGAATTGTGGATGACTTTAATTTGCATGTAGATTAGGCAAATCAAACCAATAACAATACGATAGAGGAGAATACCTGACATATGTACAGAGTGGAGCTGGAGGAACGCAGCAGGCCAGGCAGCATCAGAGGAGCAGGAAAGCTGACGTTTCGGGTCCGGACCCTTGTTCAGAAGTGGGGGAGGGGAAGGGGGCTCTGAAATAAATAGACAGTGGGGGTGGATAGTGGAGCAGATAGGTGGGAGAGAAGACGGACAGGTCAAGGAGGCGGGGATAAAGCTAGTAAAGGTGAGTGTAGGTAGGAAGTGGGGTTGGGTGTTGGTCAGTGAGGTGGGAGGAGCGGATAGGTGGGAGAGAAGATGGACAAGTCAAGGAGGCAGGGATGAGATGGGGGGCTGGTCTTGGGATGCGGTCGGGGGTGGGGAGATTTTGAAACTAATAAAGTTGACATTGAGACCATTGGCTTGTCGGGTTCCAAGGCGGAATATGAGGTGCTGTTCCTCCAGTTTCCGGGTGGCATCATTGTGACACTGGAGGAGGCCCAGGATGGGCATGTCATCCAGGGAGTGAAGGGGGAGTTGAAGTGCTTAGCGACTGGGAGGTGTTGTCATTTGTCACGAACCGAGCGTAGGCACTCCACAAAGCGGTCTCCGAGCCTCCGCTAGGTCTCCCCAATGTAGAGGATGCCACATCGGGAACAGCGGATACAATAGATCATGTTAGCAGATGTGCAGGTGAACATCTGTTTAATGTGGAAGGTTTTTTTGGGGCCTGGGTTGGAGCCGAGGGGGTAGGTTTAGGGGCAGATGTAGCACCTCCTGCGGTTGCAGGGAAAGGGGCCAGGGGTGGTTGGGCTAGTGGGGAGTGTGGAGTAGATGAGGGAGCAACGGAGAGAGCAGTCCCTCCGGAAGACAGATGGGGATGGGGAGCGAAATATATCCTTCGTAGTGGGGTCAGATTGTAGGTGGCGGAAGTAACGAAGAATGATGTGTTGAATCTGGAGGTTAATGGGGTGATACGTGAGGGCAAGGGGAATTCTGTCTTCGTTTTTATTACAGGGAGGAGGTGTGAGGGCTGAGGTGCGGGAAACGTAAGAGATGCAGTCAAGGGTGTTTTCGACCGCTTGGGGGGGAGGGGGTGGAAATTGCGGTCCTTGAAAAACGAGGACATCTGGGATGTCCAGAAGTGGAACACCTCATCTTGGGAGCAAATGCGGCGGAGGCGGAGGAATTGGGAATAGGGGATCGCATTCTTGCAGGAAGGTGAGTGAGAGGAGGCGTAGTCTCGGTAGCTGTGGGAGTCGGTGGGCTTGAAATAGATATCAGCTTCAAGGTGGTTGCCAGAGATGGAGACAGAGAGGTCCAGGAAGGAGAGAGAGGTATCAGAGATGGTCCAGGTGAACTTGAGGTTGGGGTGGAAGGTGTTAGTAAAATTGATGAACTGTTCGAGCTCCTCGTGGGAGCACGCGGTGGCACCGATACAGTCATCAATGTAACAGAGGAAGAGGTGGGGGATAGTGCCAATGTAGCTGCGGAAGAGGTACAGAGTGGTTTTCTGAATCAATATGTTGAGGAACCAACTAGAGAACAGGCTGCTCTATCCTGGGCACTGTATAATCATAGATCATAGAATCCCAACAGTGTGGAAACAGGCCCTTCGGCCCAACAATTCTACACTGATCCTTGGAGCATCCCACCCAGACGCATCCCTGTATAACCCACCTAATTTTCACATCCCTGAACACTATGGGCAATTTAGCATGGCCAATCCACCTAGCCTGTACGTCTTTGGATTGTGGGAGGAAACCCACACAGACACAGCTCAAATGTGCAAACTCCACACAGACAGATGCCCAAGGGCGGGATCGAACCCAGGTCCCTAGCACTGTAAGGCAGCAGTGCTAACCACTGAGCTATTGTGCCACCTGTGGAAAGGAATAATTGGCAATCTAGTTGTGTGAGGCCCCATGGGGAAGATTTACTATAATATGATACAATTTTTCATCTAAGATAGAGGGTGATGTAGTTGATTCTGTGAAGAGGGTTATGAATCTAAATAATGCAAACTACAATGGTATGAGGTGCTAGTTGGCTATAATATATTGGGGAACATTACAGACAGGCAAAGACAAACATTTAAAGAAAGAATGAACTGCAACATTATTCATTCCTCTTTGGCATAAAAATAAAAAAAGGAAAAATAGCCCAACCATGGCTAACAAGTGGAATTATACGTGGTATTAGATCCAAGAAAGGGTATACAAATTGGCCAAAAAAAGCAGTAAGTAAAGAGTGGGAAGAAATGGTTCTTTTTCCGAGCAGCAGACAGTGGTTTGTGGGGTACTTCAGGGATCAGTGCTTGGATCCCAGTCATTCATAATACATGTTAATGGCTTAGATGAGAGAATTATTTCAAGTTTGCAGATGACACAAAGATGGGTGAGAGGGTGAACTGTGCGGAGGATGGAGCGATGCTTTAATGTGATTTGAACAAGTTGAGTGAGTGGACAAGTGCATGGCTAATATAATGTAATGTGAATAAATGATAGGTTACCTACTTTGGTAGCAAAAATGAAAAGGTAGTTTTATTATTTGAGTGGTGCTAGATTGAGAAAGGGAGAGGTGTAACAAGGTGTTACTTTTACACCAATCACTAAAAGGCATGCAAGTGCAGCAGGTAGTGAAGAAAGCAAAGGGAATGCTTGTCTTTATACGATGACGATTCAAGTTAAGGATCAGGACTGTCTTGCTGCAATTGTACAAGGCTTTCATGAAAGGAGTCGAGGTATGTAGTTGTGGTTTCCTTATCTGAGGAAGGATGTTCTGGCTATGGAGAGAGCATGTTTATGAGACTGATTTTTTGCATGGTAGGAGTGACACATAGAGAGAGAATCAATCATTTAGGATGCCCATTCCTGCCTCCAATCCAGACACAAAACCAAAGGAGAAAAAGAGACAGCAGGTCATGAACAAAGAGTCTCAGTCACTTGGTCTGGCAGCCTGCAGGTACTGCCATTGTGTGTAACTTGAAGGCCAGTACAGAATTGAGATCGACATGCAGTGTGTTATCTGGCTGATTGGTTGTATTTAGAACAAGTTTGGGTGGCACGATAGCTCAGTGGTTAGCATGGCTGCCTCACAGTGCCAGGGACCTGGTGCGATTCACACCCTCGGGTGACTGTCTGTGTGGAGTTTGCACATTCTTCCCATGTCTGCGTGGGTTTCCTCCGGGTGCACCAATTTCGTCCCTCAGTCCAAAGATGTGCAGGCTAGGTGGATTGGCCATGCTAAATGGCCCATAGTGTTCAGGGATGTGCAGGTTGGGTGGATTAGTCAAAAGAAATGCAGGGTTACAGGGATGGGATGGGGGCAGGTCTGGGTAGATGCTCTTCGTAGGGGTGATGTGGCCTCAAATGGCCTACTTCCCCGCTGTAGGGATTCTAAGATTCTGTCACTGTCGAAATAAATGGAGGATTTTGGCTCCAAATGATCAGATCCCTCACTGCAGTCTTCGCTCCACTTCCTTGTAATCCTGAAGACCCAGTGAGACTGACACAGCTGCCAGCCAGCCTACTGTAGTCTTTGTGTGGGCATCTGACTTGCTCCTCCAATCTCCCTCCAAGGAGAAAATACACCCTGCAGCAACTCCAGGACATCAAACACGTGAATAAATCATTGAATATACTCAAGGTTGAGGTTGACAAATTTTTAATCGGTGAGGGCAGCGAGGGTTTGGGAAAAGGTAGGAAAGTAGAGATGAGGGTTACCAGATCAGCCATGATCTCATTGTCTAGCATCTTTACCTGTTGTGGCTGACAAATGACTCCAGACACATAGCACTGGGGCTGACTCTGTCAGGGCAATTAGAGGTGGGCAATAAATGCTAGCCTAACCAGTGATACCACATCCCGTGTAATAATAAAGATGAAACTTCAGGTCATTCTTGTGATATATCCTCAACTTTACTCTTATTATGTTATACATCATGTTTTTAAATTGAAAAGTCCACCAGACCTTAGATACATCGTCTTTGAATTAAAATAAATGCATGAATCTGAAGCAAGGATTTAAAATCATAGAATCCCTACCATGTGGAAGCAGGCCATTCGACCCATTCACCTTCTGAACAGCATTCCACCCAGACCTACCCCCTACTTTGTCCCTGTAAACCTGCATTCCCCATAACTAATCCACCCACTTGACTTATCCCTGAACGGTAAGGGCAATTTAGCATGTCCAATCCACTTAACCTGCACATCTTTGCGCTGTGGGAGGAAACTGGAGCACCCAGAAGAAACCCACGCAGACCTGGGGGCAATGTGCAAACTCCACATACTGTCTCCCAGGGGATGGTATGAAACTGGGGCCCCTGGCAACGTGAGGCACACTGCTAACCACTGAGCCACCCTGTGGTGCAAGAAATTGTGTAAGAGAACATTGATTTGCCCTTACATTTTCATTAACTCATGAAATGTAGCATTTATTCTGAATGATGCTGTTACAAATTTCTTGATTTTTCTTTCAGAAGGAGAATGCCTGGATTCCAGTCAGAATCAGGAATGCTTTTTCCAACTTTCCTCCAAAGGCGAGTTTTATTGCTATGTACATCCTGGAAGTGGATCAGTTTATTCTGACTCCCATAACCACTCACACCCTGGATGGTGAAGACAGTGAGAGCCCCAAAACTCAACTTGTCTTCAACATCACCAAGCCACCTCTACAGGGTTTTATTACCCACTTATCTGACCACACCAAACCAATCACATCTTTCACCTGGACTGAACTAAATGAGATGCTCATTGCATTCCAACCTCCAAACAGCAGCCACACTGAAAGGAGGAACTATGAGGTATGTAAGGCAATAGGATTTTTTGGCTAATAGTTAAAGCAAAGATTAAGGAAGAGCACACATTTTCAATAACAGCCCCTGTGAATCTTAATTTCTTTAAAATTAACTACATTTATTATCAGATCTGTTTAAAAAGAAAAGTGGTTTTCCTGAGGCCTAGTCCCAGACCCAAGTTATATTCTGTGTTCCATAAACACCTAAGTCCGTTATGTACTTTGTTGTACATTGTCAATTAGAACAAAATAAATTTCTTATAATGTAATTCTATTATTGTATATACATTGTCTTCTTATATGTAATTCTGCTGTGATTTTGACTTTTAACCTGGAATCAGGAGTTAGGACTTTTCCAGAGTCTCTGTTCCTGCCTCTGCCTTAGAAGTGCTGCCTGCCATATTAGTATCCCAGTATTACATCAGAGATGGGATGGTAAGACTGGCTGGTTAGAATGCCCAACTTCATTTAGTGGGAGAGTGATATGAAATGTCGTTAGACCCTTACCTCTTACTCCCCAACAATCCTTCGAACCTTCCCATGTCTGTGTTCCCTGTAAATCCATTCAACCTGATTACACTGGATATGCAACCTATAACCCATATTATAACACTGACAAATCTTTGCAATGTTTATATAATGAAAAAAGAAATTCCTTTGAGAAGTATTGAACCTTTTATACTCTCATAAAACTGTCAATCAAACAGAGGCAATGAAAGTCCATTAAAAAAGCCTTTAATCCACTTAACACTGCTTCATCTTTAATTATGCGGAGAGTGTTACATTTGGCTGTCTTTCCATTCCTCATCCATAAAATCCATAGAATCCCTACAGTGTGGAAACAAGCCCTTCAGCCCAACAAGTCCACACCGACCCTCAGAGAATCCCACCCAGACCCGTTCACCAAACCCACCTAATCTACACACCCCTGAACACTATGGGCAATTTAGCATGGCCAATCCACCTAGCCTGCACATCTTTGGCCTGTGGGAGCAAACCGGAGCACGCAAAGGAAACTCAGCAGACACGGGGAAAACGTGCAAATTCCACACAGATGATTGCCCAAGGGGGAATCGAACCCAAGCCCCTGGCTTGGCAGTAGTGCTAACCATCGTGCCACCCCGATTGGAATGCTTTTATTCTGTACTTGAGCTTTATAGTCTTCCCTTGTTCAGTTACCTGCTTTCTTGCCAATCAATGTTTCCAATCTACCTGGATCAGATCCCTTTCCAACTCACTGAATATCATCCATTTGAGTATTAGCACCATTTATTGACTCCATTCCTCCTCCATTGCTACTCTGATCCTAATAAAGTTGTTATCACAGTTTCTGAAAGATTTTCCATTGCAAATTGCTCAACCTGCCCTACATAATTCCTGAGTACTAGATTCGATATTGTTTCCTCCACTTTCGGACAATGAAAAGATTTATTATGTAATGTTACACTCCTTGAATAAATCTGTTACAAGTCAAGACCAGGTCTGGTTTGTTCCTTCACCAACTGACTCTAACAGAAATTATATATAAATTTATCCTATGTGTGATCTGAATGAGTGCTTTTTTGCAGTTTAAAGCCTCTGTAAGGCCCTCCATGGATAGGTATCTATTTGTAGTGCAACTACCTAACCAAGAAGATCCCAGGGGACTTAAATTGGTGGCAGGAGAGACATTATGCCAGTCTCTGTGCCATTTTCCTGTTTTTACACCAAAAATGCAGCATTTTGTGGCTGCAAAGGGAAGATAAACTGCCTTTCACTTTGTGATTGCGTGCATATGAATTTGTGATAGTCCAAGAAGCATTATGTTTAGCCCTTGCAAATAAATTCTCCATGTGTAAGATTAAATTTTACAAGTGATCTGCTAACATAGAACTCTAACTGCTGGAACTAGGTATAAGAAATCTATGCACCTTCCATTTTAATGTTATAAGCGTAGACCATGATTTTAAACAGAGTGAGCACAGAGTATCAAGTTGAAACTGTTCTGCATCATTGACATGCTTAAGTTTAATTTATAGATGAGATGGTCTTTTGCTTTTTCTATCTGCAGTCTCTTGGGCTTTAGGTGTGGTGCATAGTTCTGAGGTGCATAGCCATTTTGAAATTCTTCTGACTCAAAATGAGCGAGTAAGACTGTTGTCTTGGCCTCCGACATGCCCCCTGATAAATAATGGCTTGGACATTGACTCTATTCCTTTCTGTCACAGGTAGAATTTGAAGTTCACGATGCGTACTTCAGGAAAAGTGCACCAATCATGGTGCATATCTCGATCAGGACAGCTGATACTAATGCTCCCAGAGTTTCTTGGAATATGGGTGAGTGTCTATCCGGGTTTGATCTTTGCTGAATTTTGACCACACAAGGTGGCCAGATCAGTTGCAATTTCTTTTGCTGATTTCTGTTCAATTTGCACAGCAAGCAGTTTAAAAGTGTTTCACACCACAGTTTATGTTTTTGTTTGTGTATGATTGGTTTAAGTGGCTACTAGAGTTAATAACACTTGACTCTAACTCATAAATAACTTTCCAGACTTAACTCTACATTGAACTCTCACTTAAATCCTAGATAGACTTTTTTTTTGCAAATTAAAATAGGAGAACCTGTTTACCAGTGACTATGACTGTCAAGCTGCTCCTGCAATCTAGGTCAATAAAACATGTCACACAGTTACTCCTAGTAGCTTATTTGTCATGACAATATTTTCATCAGTCTTTAATTACCTCAGCTTCCTGGAGTTGATGATACTTTAAGCTCTATTATTTCACATTTGACCAAGAATGAAAGAATGTTAAAATGATTCAGGTACACAATTGTGCAAATTTCGCATTTTTTCCCTGGTGAAAATAAGGTCCATGGAACAGCATATTGGATCTGTCCATCAGCACTGTTCACAGTGACGTAACAGAAGTGATGTTCATGCATAATTGGAGCAAATTTTATTTCTTAAAGTGAAGACATTTTCCACAATTTCCCTCCCTTTTTTTTCTCTTAGCTTTGACTTGCCAAGAAAAATCCAGACAAATTGCTTTAAATATTTTAGTAACCCATACCATTATGATCCCTGTACAGATTGATAGCTTCTAAAGAGATCCAAACTTGCAGTGGATGGCTGAAAGGATAATGTAACAAAATTTCACATTTTAAGACTTACTGTAACACACAAGCTAAAAGTGACACTGACTAAACACTTGAATATAGGCAAAATACTGCAGATGGTAAACACTACTTTAAAAAGCAAATTATATTCTACAATAGTGAACAGATTTTCCAATTTAACATTTACAAGAACAGAAAATCTCCATCCACAGTTGTACTTTATCCTGTTCTTTAGATAGACGCACTATTCTACCAGAGCCAAAGTGATTCTCAGCCCCTGAGAATCTTTCCTTATCCTTCTTATCTACATAACTTCTATTCTCCAAACTAACTTTAATGTTGAAGGCAATTTAGAGCTGATTCTTTCCAGATAATCTTAGACTAATCCTCCAGTCTGTTGTAAACTCTTATTAACTTGATCCCTTCAATCTGACAATGAGCTCCCACCACCATTCTCACAGGGTAAACCAGAGACACTTTCCTGTCTTTGTTGCTGTGCTCTCTTTCTCTTGGTCTTTTGCAGACAATCCATAGAATCCCTACAGTATGGAAACAGACCCTTCAACCCAACAAGTCCACACCAACCCACAGAACATCCCACCTAGACGCCTCCCCACAGTAACCCACCTAATCTATGCATCCCTGAAGGCAAATTTACAGGCGAATTTAGCATGGCCAATCCACCTAGCCTGCACACCTTTGTAACCGTGGGAGGAAACTGGAGCACCCGGGGGAAACCCAGGCAGACATGGGGAGAATGTGCAAACTCCACACAGACAGTCGCGCAAGGGTGGAATCGAACCCGGGTCCCTGGCACTGTGAGGTAACAGTGCTAACTACAGAGCCACCGTGCCTCCATCTGTGAGGTTCAGTGATACACTCGTCCTTCAGTGGCTTCACATGGGACTCTCCCTTTCTCTCAAAGTCCACCTCCATGAAAACATAAATCACACGGGCTTGTGTTCAGGTAGAATTAATAATTAAGTTTCCTTTCAACTCCCAACTTTACAGCATCTTGAAAACAAACAGGCAATTTAATTTATAACTGTTTATAAAACCTGACATTCTGAACCTCATCTCGGGACTTGGGACTTCTGAGATGAGCAGTCATTCCATTGTCAGCTCAGATACTACATTCAATGGTTACAGGTGTGAATGTTTTGTACCTCCTTCCTCGTGAAGTAATCTAGACCCTTCCCTTAAGCTTTAACACTAAAGTCACCCAGGCTTGCTGTTGGCAGAATTGCAAACGGGTCAAATGACCACTTTCATTCCTTCATTTTACACCAAATTATAGGCAGTCCCAAAACATAACCAGCTTCCAAATCCTCACGTATGTAACAATATCTATTGAAAATTTTCATTTCTTTAAATTCTATCTTTTTTTTGCCCCACGTCTCCTGCTCCTGCATGAACAGCATCTCACGATGCAGGAAGGGGTCAATAGCCACGTAGAAAAATGACATTGACAATTACATTAATGTATAAATTGTAAGAATTTTGCCATCCAGGGAATCATTTAGCTATTCACTAATAACAATGATAAAGTGAAGCTAAAGTTCTTTTTTTGTGTTGCTTTTCACCATTCAGGACTTGTCCTTTTGGAAGGCCAGTCTCGAGCTATCACCTGGGAGCAGTTTCAGGTAGTGGATAATGATGCCATCAGCGCAGTCCGTTTGATTACGGTGGATGGTTTACTGCATGGGCGACTCACTGTAAGAGGTTAATGTCCATTTAACATTTCACTGCATGTGAACATTGGTGCATGTGATCAATTCTCTGGAGCTACAAAATATGATGAAGACAGCACTGGAGATGAACCTCTGAGCAAGAGCAAAGATTTGGGTAAATCCCTCATCTCCTGAAGTTAGACCTTTCAGAGTGGGAAACCTCCACTGTTTTACCCAAATGTTTATTCTACCTGTGTTAACTTTAGCCATGAGTCAGTATACTATTCAGCCATGATGGACCTCAAAGCTGACTCCGATAGGATCAAAGATGAGAAGATTTCGTGCTTTTTTTAATGTCAGCTGTATGTAGTCAATGGACTGTCAAACAATTTACCACAGATGAGACTTGAATCTGGAATCTTCTCCGTTTCCCTTACTCTGGTCCACACTATTTAATGCAGCAGGATGCTCCAGAAATTGTCCCATCCCCAATAATGAGGAGTCCAACACATCAGTGCAACAATCATCAGTCAGAAGTGAATAATCCCTCTTAGCCTCCTTCAGAGTCCCCAGGTTCACAGACGCCAGTCGTTAGCCAATTTTGGTTTACCCAACATGGTCATAAGAGATAGTTAAATGCACTTCAAAGGTTATGGGCCTTGACATCCAGCAATTGTACTGCACACTTCTGCTCCAGAACTATCTGCACCCTTAAGCAAGCAGTTCCAGTTCAGCTATAAAATTGGCATCTGCCTGATAATATGAAAATCTTCTCAGGTATGTCCTATACATAAAATGGAAGACAAATCCAACATGACTAATTGCTGGTAGACAAACAGGAAGCTGGAAGAACACAGCAAGCCAGGCACTATTTGGAGAAAAGGAGCAGTCAAGATTTTGGGCACTACTCTTCTTCAGTTCTTGACATTGGCATTGACAGGGGGTCAGTCCAGTTACAACAGTTGGCATGGCTGAGATGGACAGGGAGACCAAGGATTTGATTTGATTTGATTTATTGTAGTAACATGTACCTGAGGACAGTTTAATATTTTAATGAAGATTGTAGCTCAGATTGTGTTTGGAGTTGTTGGTTGGTTTGCAGAGCTGACTGGTTTCCATGCAAACATTTCATCTCCCTTCTAGGTGACATCTTCAGTGCTATCTAGCCTCCACTGAAGCACTGTTGTTCTGTCCTGCTCTGAATTTATATCACAGAATCCCTACATAGTGGAAACAGGCCCTTTGACCCAACAAGTCCACACCGACCCTTGGAACATCCCACCCAGACCCATCCCCCTATAACCCACCTAAGCTACACATCCCTGAACACTACAGACAATTTAGTATGGCCAATCCACCTAGCCTGCACATTTTTGGACTGTGGGAGAAAACCGGGGCACCCAGAGGAAACCCATGCAGACACGGGGAGAATGTGCAAACTCCAAACATACAGTCACTTGAGGCTGGAATTGAACCCGGGTCCCTGGCACTGTGAGGCAGCAGTGCTAACCACTGAGCCACCGTGCCACCCCTAAATGGTCTGGTCTGTCATGGTGGGTAGTCTTGTTTCTGGTTTTGTACCATAGCGGTATGTATAATGGGGTCTATTTCAATATGTTTGTTTATCACACCAGTGGTTGAAAACCAGGCCTCCAGGAATTCTCATGCTTGTCTTTGCTTTGCTTGTCCTTGTAATGTCACTTTGTCCCAGTTAAACTGATGTCCTTCTATGTCAGAGTGTATCGATATGAGGGAGAGTTGCTATTGCCATTTTGCTGCGAGTTGGTGTTCATGTATTATGCTGGCAAGTTTCCTGCCCATCTATCCTGTGTAGTGTTTCTCGCAGTTGCTGCATGGTATTTTGCATATCACTTTTGTCCTGCTCATTGTGCATTTGGGGTCTTTCATCTTTGAGGGTAACTGGTGAAGTGTGGCTTTTGGTTGTGTGCTATCATTATTCCAAGAGGTCGTAGGAGTCTTGTAGTCAGTTCCAATGTGTTTCTAATATAGGGTAGGGTAGCCAGTGTGTTGGGGCGTACGGTGTCTTGTAGTCAGTTCCAATGGGTTTCTAATATAGGGTATGGTGGCTAGTGTATTGGGGTGTACAGTTTCTTCTTGGTGTTTTTTATTTGCCAGGCATGGCAGTTGAACCTGTTGGGATACCCATTGCTCGTAAAGACTTTGTATCGGTGTTCCTGTTCGTTTTTGTGCAGCTCTGGTGTGTGCAGTCTGTTATCGGTCATTTAAATAGAGTCTTGACACAGCTCTGTTTGTGGACTCTGGGGTGGTTACTGTTGTAATTCAGGATTTGATCTGTGTGTGTAATCTTTCTGTATACACTGGTAAGGAATTCACCATTGTTTTTTCGTTCCACAATTACGTCTAGAAGCGGGAGTTGATTATTGTTCTCTTCTTCCCTGGTGAACTTGATCCCGGTGAATATGCTGTTAATAAGGTGGTGTATTTCTTCTAAATGCTCAATTAATGGTCACGAAAATATCATCCACGTACCTAACCCATAGTTTAGGCTGGATCCAGGGGAGGGCTGTGCATTCAAGTCTTTGCATAACAGCTTCTGCTATGAAACCTGAGATGGGTGAACTCATGGGTATCCCATTAATTTGTTTATATACCTGGCCGTTGAAGACAAAGTGTGTGGTAAGGCATAGGTCTCATAGTTTTAGCATGTTGTCCTTCCTGATGGTTTCATTGGACATTTGTGTTTTCAGATTGTCTAGTAATGTGGCCAGTGTCTTCTTTGCTAGTATCATGTCGATGGAGGTGAATAGTGCTGTAACATCGAAGGAGACCATCATTTCCTCCTTGTCAGTTTTTATATTTCTGATGTTGTCCAGGAATTCCTGGGCTGTGTTTATGGAGTAGGTTGTTCCATTGGTGAGGCGTTTCAGTCTTTGTTGTAACTCCTTGGCTAGCCTGTGTTGGTGTGCCCAGCAGGGAAAGTATTTGTCTGAGGGGGTTGTCCAGTTTGTGTACCTTGACTGCTTCAGTGTGGGTAGGCCCATGTTGAGTTTAAGCCCAGTTCAGGACCCGGCTGCTTCAGCAGCAGCATCATTGCTGAGATTTGCGCAGTGCAGACTCATGACAGCGATGATGTAATTGGAGGCACTGAAGAATTGTGGTGCAGTTCCAGTGACTGCAGAGCAGCTCCAGGCCATGGCTGGACCAGGTACCTGATGGTAGAGGTGGTGGCATTCCAGCTGTGACAGCGTGCAGGGTCTTGCAGTACCTGAGTGTTTGCAGACTGAGGAACGGACTTCATGGCTTTGTTTTTCTGGCGGGGAGGACTTGTTGCGGAGGCGGGGAGTAATCTAGATATTTCCATTTCTCTTGGTTGATTCATTTATTTCTGCTTCAGTTTTTAATCCTGTCTTTTATGTACTTAGATAAAACTGGAGAATGATGACGTTGTACTCCTACATTCCTGTACTCGAGTACACGTGACAGTAAAATCTAAATCCAAATACAGCTTGTTTGTTTTTTGTTCACTTCTACTGTTGTTGAACAAAACTGAAAGTTTTCAAACATTCTCATAATTAATAACGAGAGGATGTTGAGCTTCACTGGGCATTGGGAGAAGATTAACTCTCTCTGACCTCGGGTTCTAAGATGAGATAACACCGAGGATAGGTAACCTGTGCAGTTTATTTCTAAAAACGCAATAGATTTACAAATATGGGCTTGTATTTGCAATGAAGTGCCAGCTGTACCTGAGAAACTTTCTTTATGGTTCACCTCCCACTACATGCACTCTGAAGGGCAACTCCTGCCTGACAACATTTGACCCAGTGCATGAGATATCCACCAGGAGTTGAAGATGATGAGGGAGGCAAGCTGGAGCGGTCAAATTGACTCTGACTGGAAATGAAAGTGTGTGTTTGGTGGAGAGAAGGTTGATGGGAAGGGAGAGCAGACAACCGTAAGAGTTCAATGTAAAGATCATGGTGTCCCATGTATATAACATATATAGTTCTTGTTTAATCTTAATTTTCCTTCCTGTTTGTATTGACCTGTTGCCAGTGGGACAAAGAATCCCTGCTCCTCAGTCCCTGGGCTGTATGTGTGTTCAATTCTCATGTTACATTTCCAATGTAGTCACCAGGATTCCATAGCACAGGCAGCAAATCATGGCGATTGAGATTGAAAGGTGCCTGGCTGAGATGAAGTAATTGGTGGAGAAGATGAAAATGGCAGTTTCCATTAGGGAGGCTGAAACTGCTGTAGATCATTGGAGATTCTGGTATTGACAGAGGAAAACATAGAATCCCTATAGTGCCAAAAGACACCATTCGACCCATTGCATCTGGACTGACCTTCTGAATAGCATCTCACCCAGATCCAACTCCTACCCTATTCCCGTAACTTCACACTTGTCATGGCTAATCCACCTAACCTGCACATCTTTGGATTATGGAAGGAAACCAGAGCACTCAGTGGAAATCCACGCGGACACAAGGAGAACATGCAAGCTCCACACGAACAGTTGACCAAGGCATTGAACTTGAGTCTCTAGTACTGTGCTAAACACTGAGCCACCTTGCCGTCCGTAATCAGACCTTTAGGCCAGATGCAAGCAAAGACTTCCCATGTGTATTCCCTTGATGCTACGAAGGAAGTGGTCGTATTGTCAGATATTCTATGTGCCAATGATTAGGAATCTGGATGCATTCAGGGGAAGATCAGAAACAGGCAATGATTAAGCAGTTGAAGTTGATTGTGGACATGCAAACATGCACCCAAGGGCCTCAATGCGAGTGAGAAGGCAATGTTTTCTGTGGAACATCTGTGTGGGAAAGCACATTGGGAAATACTGGTAAGAGATACAGATGTTCAAAGAAGTCCATGGAGAATAACAACCCAAGGTGTTGGAGGTAGTATATTGGCATGGACAGAGAATTGGCTGATTGTCAGGAAATAGTGAGTGAGGATCAGGAGTTCTTTTTCAGGTTGGCATTCTATAACCAGTGAGGTTCCACGGGGATCAGTTCTGGAATCCCAACTGTTCACAATATATGTTTATGGCTTGGAAAAAGG